ACAAAATAGGAACAGATTTAAGTAGGCAAAACATAGAAAATAACGTCGCATTACAATTTTTGAAGATTGTAACTATCAGGGAAGCAAGGGAGTTCCTCGTCGGGTTACAGGGATTTAAATCTTGAGAATGATAAGGATTTAGGAACGGGCGAAAAAGGAACTGGTTTCAAGAAAACAGAACATGGTGATTGACGTCGCATTTAAATTTTGGAAGATTTTAATTATCAGTGAAGCAAGGGAGTTCCACCTGGGGCGACATGGATTGAAAGATTGAGAATGGGAATGATTTAGCAAAGGACGAAAAAAGCAACAGGCTTCAAGAAGACAGAAGATGGTCATTTGTATCGCATTTAAATCTTTGAAGATTGTAGTTATCACGGATGCAAGGAAGTTCCTCTTGGCGATACAGGAAGTTAAAGACAGAGAATGGGGGAGTTTCGGGAAACGATAGCAAAGGAACAGGTTTCAAAAAGACATAAGATGGCAACTTACGTCTCCTTTAAATTTTTGAAGAATTTAGTTATCAGGGAAGCAAGGGAGTTACACCTGGGGTTACCGGGAGTTAAAGACTGAGAATCGGAATGATTTAGGAAGGAACAAAAAAGGAACGTGTTTCAAGAATACAGAAGATGGCGATTGACATTGCACTTAAATTTTTAAAGATTCTAGTTATCATGGAAGCAACGGAGATTCACCTGGGATTACAGGGAGATAAAGACTGAGAATGGGGAGGTTTTAGAAAAGGATAAGAAAAAAAAAGGAAGAGGTTTTTAAAAAAGACAGAATTTGGCGTCTTACGTCTCATTTAATTTTTTGAAGAATTTAATTATCAGGGAAGCAAGGGAATTCGAGCTGGGGTTACAGGGAGTTAAACACTGAGAATGGGGAGATTTTTAGAAAATTATAAAACAAAGAAAATGCTTCAAGGTTCAGTTAGACAAAAGATGGCGATTAAGAATAGAGAGGATTCAGGAAATGATAAAAAAAATAAAATAAAAGGCACTGGTTTCAAGAAGTCAGAAGATGACAACTGAGGTCGCATTGCAATTTTTGAAGATTGTACTTATCAGGGAAAGAAAGAAGTTCCACCAGGGTGTTAAAGACTGAGAATGAGGCGGATTTATGAGGGGATAAAATAGGAACAGGCTTTAAGAAGACAGAACCTGGAAATTGACGTCATCAGGGAAGCAAGGGAGTTCCTTGTCGAGTTACAGAGAGTTAAAAACTTTAAATGGCGTGGTTAGGAAAGGACAAGAAATGAACGGGCTTCAATTAGACAGAAGATGGCGGTTGACGTCGCATTAATATTTTTGAAGATTGTAGTCATCAGGGAAGCAAGGGAGTTCCTTGTCGAGTTACAGAGAGTTAAAAACTTTAAATGGCGTGGTTAGGAAAGGACAAGAAATGAACGGGCTTCAATTAGACAGAAGATGGCGGTTGACGTCGCATTAATATTTTTGAAGATTGTAGTCATCAGGGAAGCAAGGGAGTTCCTTGTCGAGTTACAGAGAGTTAAAAACTTTAAATGGCGTGGTTAGGAAAGGACAAGAAATGAACGGGCTTCAATTAGACAGAAGATGGCGGTTGACGTCGAATTAATATTTTTGAAGATTGTAGTTATCAGGGGAGCAAGTTACAGGGAGTTAAAAACTTAGAATGGCGGGTTTAGGAAAGGACAAAATAAAGAACAAGTTTCAAGTAGACAGATGATGGTGACTGACGTCTCATTTAAATTTTTGAAGATTTTATCTATCAGGGGAGGCAGGGACTTCCTTCTGTGGTTACAGGGAGTTAAAGACTGTGAATTGGGAGTATTACTAAAGCACAAAATAGAAATAGGCTTCAAGTAAACAGAAGATGGCGACTGACGTTACATTTAAATTTTTGAAGAGTGTGTAGTGATCTTAGAAACAAGGGACTTCCACCTGGCTTACGGAAAGTTAAAATCTGAGAATTGGGAGTATTACTAAATGACAAAATAAGAACAGGTTTCAAGTAAACAGAAGATGGCGATTGACATTACATTTGAATTTTTGAAGATTGTATTTATCAAGGAAGCAAGAAATCGGAAGAGAGGTGGAAGTGTAAGAAAAGAAACGGTCAGAATCGAACTGACTGTTACATTTAACTAGTTCAACAGTAAAGCGGTGGGACCTAAGTGCCAATCTAGTAGCACGCTTAAATCCATGTAGTCGGAACACCAGTGAATAGACCTCATCAGAACAGTTGGCATAAAAAATATTTGGAGATATTCATTTGTTTCCATCAATAGGAAACATTTGGAAACAAACAATATGATAACAGATTTTCCAATATTTTTTTCGGAGAAAATTTCAGATTGCTTTCAATAGGGGAATAGAGACTTTGCTTTCACGCTGGCCGGCAATCAATAAAAAAGACAGTGATCATACATTTTATGATTAATATTGCTATAAATTTAACTTAAATTTGTTTTGTTTTTTGTTTACATCATTGATATAAATATTTTTTTTTTTTTAAGTTTTTATTGTAGGTTTTTAATCTCTTTTTTTCTTTTTAAATATCTTCCGTACACCTTAAGTTAAATAAATGTATCCAATATTTGCTTTTACATCTTTTCCGGGAAAAAGTAATTACTATTGGAACACCTTAAATTTAACTTACATTAACAAAGCAAAGAGTGCTGAATTGTTACGTGATACCAGTCCTCCTTCACAGTAGCGAATATTGGACGGTTTTCTCAAGGATGAAGATGAGACTCATGACAAGAGTAATGTTGTTCTGCAGAAGGATGCTGAGGATAACATGGACCAAACATGTGAGCGACAATGAGGTCTTGGAGAAAATGCAAACAAAGAGGAATCTTATGCTTAACATCAGAAAGAGGTGGATGAAATTTCTGGGACACAGAAATGAGGGCTTGGAGAATCTGATACTCACAGGACGGATAGAGAGTAAGAACAAGGGAAAGTAACGTGTAACATACTTAATAGAAATTGAGCAAATGGATGGCGGTACAGGATCTTGGGAGAAATAACAAAAAGACAAAATTTACTGAGAGTTGCAAAGTACAGGAGGAGGTGGAAAGCAATGATTCCCTAAAAGACTGAAAAGACACGGTATATAAGAAGAAATTCCGAACACTCCATGTTAAGTAAATATTTATAACGTTTGTTTTTAGTTCCTTTCTGTTAAAACGTAATTACTGTCTGAACACCGTAAATTTAATTTACATCTTTTTTTTTTTTTTTTTTTTAAATTTCTGGAATACATAATATGGAAAGAAGGCATGGAAAATTTAACACTAACAGGAAATATGTGAATGTATCACGGGACAAAGACAAAACAAAATATGCTAAAGTGGGACTTTCTTGGCGTAATAAAAGATAGGAACTCGTGGAGATCCTAAAAATATATGTCCTATTTTCTGATTGATGAGGTATTATGTACACTATTTACATTATTCGGATATTTTGTCCTCATCTTTGTCGCCATATTTATTACAATGTTTCGGCCTTCAGTATCTGTCTATATTTCTGAGATGATGTATTATGTACATTATTTACATTATTCACTATTGTCCTCATCTTTGTCGCCATATTTATTACAACGTTTCGGCCTTTCAGTATCTGTCTATAGGCCCTGATAATTAGACACTATTTACATGGAACGAAGACTATTGTCCTCATCTTTGCCGCCATATTTATTACAACATTTCGGCCCTGAAGAAGGCTGGAGCGTACAACGGTCGAAACGTTGTAATAAATATGGCAACAAAGATGAGGACAATAGTCCGAATAATGTAAATAATGTACATAACATTATCTCAGAAATATAGACAGATACTGAAGGGCCGAAACGTTGTAATAAATATGGCGACAAAGATGAGGACCCTTCGAATAATAAATAATGTCATAATACCTCATCTCAGAAATATAGACAGGCTGAAGGGGAAACGTTGTAATAAATATGGCGACAAAGATGAGGAAATAAAGTGAATAATGTAAATAATGTACATAACACCTCATCTCAGAAATATAGACAGATACTGAAGGGCCGAAACGTTGTAATAAATATGGCAACAAAGATGAGGAGAATAGTGCGAATAATGTAAATAATGTACATAATACCTCATCTCAGAAATATAGACAGATACTGAAGGGCCGAAACGTTGTAATAAATATGGCGACAAAGATGAGGACAATAGTCCGAATAATGTAAATAGTGTACATAATACCTCATCTCAGAAATATAGACAGATACTGAAGGGCTGAAACGTTGTAATAAATATGGCGACAAAGATGAGGACAATAGTGCGAATAATGTAAATAATGTACATAATACCTCATCTCAGACATATAGACAGACATTCATGGTAATTGTTCAGATGACCTCTTTGTTACAGTACCTATGTTTCATGAATTTAAGCGCAATACTAGATTGGCAGACAGGTCCCATCTTGTTACAGTTCAAATGCCTAGACATAAATGTAAGTTCTATACTAAACAATTTATTGTCACACTTCTTACTTGTGGAACTCTCTTCTAGTTTTCCAGTCAAATTTGCATTTAAATTTTTGAAGGTCTACTGTCTTCTTAATTCTTGTTCTTTTAATGTTCTCTCTTGTTTATCGTGTTTTTTTTCTCATATTCTCTAACACTCCATAACCCCTTGAATCTTAGTGGCTTTACTGCCTTCCGTATAATGTAAATAGTGTCTAAAACATTTGTCGTAATATGTAATTACTTTCCAAACAAACTATGTTAAATAAATGTAGTAACTTTTGCTTTTAAATCTTTTCTGGCACAACGTAAGTACAGTTTGAAATATTCAAGTAAATTAAACTAACATTTATTTTTATATCCTTTCTGGCAAACTTCAATTTCTTTTCGTGGGCGCTCATATTTTACTTCAAGGAGACGCCTATCGACTTGGGCATCTACGTGGAAAGCCGAGAACCTACGATTTAATAAAGGTTAATTGTAGCATTACACACGGAAGACGCCGGCCAGACAAGACGCATGGCCGCGTTTTTTCACTATCCTTTCTCGTCTGTGATTGAATGTTTCCAATTTTAAGAGAATACTTTTCGACTAAAGCGACACTCCCCAACAGATACCTGCAATCAAGTATGTCATTATCCAATGATTCTACTCTATTCAGATGGTTTTTTTTTCTTATTTCTTACCAAACTTTAGATTCCGAAATAATGCACCTGAGACCCGTGAAAAAGAAAAAAAAAAAAGAAAGAAAAATTTTTTTTTTTTTTTTTTTTAATAACCGAAAAAGTAGCAGAATTTTGCGCCCCCGAAAAACATAATATAAAAACGAATATCTACAAATATCGTCAACGTAGGTTATTGATTATTAATACGCATAGTTTTTGTTTTGGGGTGGGGTGGGGTAGGGGGGAATCGGTGATATAGAAAAGAAAAAAAAACGCTCAATTTTCAATCGATAAAGCTTTGCCTTTGAAAGTGAATGCGAATATAAAACGTGGAGATCACAAAGAAACACAAATGGAATTTTTTTTTTTTGAGTTTTTGAGGGTCTGCGACGGTCGTTTTTTGCATTGGATCGCAGATTCTTCACCTATATTTTTCTCCCTTCGAAACGTCAGCGATCACGGCTCTCTACAACTGCCAATTCTTGTAGATCTTAACAAGGTTTGTCTGCTCGGTATTTTTTTTTTATTCGCTTCACCCCACCCAAGCAAGCAAATAAAGCCACTAAGACGCTACGAGGTCACTGAGGGTGAGAAAATGTAACATTATTAAGAAAAAGAAACAATAAATCACCGTGAATTAAGAAGAGAGAAATTTATGGGCATATGGCCCTATCACGCTGAAACCCCGACTCCTGCAGGATCACCGATGTTAAGCAACGTCTAGTCTGGTCATCACGTAAATGGGTGACCGCTTGTGAATACCACTTGCTGTAAGGTAGAACGTGCGGGTGTTATAATGGGCGTATGACCATGTCACTTTGAAAAGTCGTTTTCCGTAAGGATCACCGAAGTTAAGCAACGTCGAGTCTTCTCAGTATATAGGTGGGTGACCGCTTGTGAATACCTGGTGATGTAAGCTTGGATGTGCGGGTGTTTGAATGGGCGTATTGAAACACCAGTTCTCGTAAGATCACCGATGTTAAGCAACGTCTAGTCTGGTCATCACCTAAATGGGTGACCGCTTGTGAATACCACTTGCTGTAAGGTAGAACGTGCGGGTGTTATAATGGGCGTATGACCATGTCACTTTGAAAAGTCGTTTCCCGTAAGGATCACCGAAGTTAAGCAACGTCGAGTCTTCTCAGTATATAGGTGGGTGACCGCTTGTGAATACCTGGTGATGTAAGCTTGGATGTGCGGGTGTTTGAATGGGCGTATTGAAACACCAGTTCTCGTAAGATCACCGATGTTAAGCAACGTCTAGTCTGGTCATCACCTAAATGGGTGACCGCTTGTGAATACCACTTGCTGTAAGGTAGAACGTGCGGGTGTTATAATGGACGTATGACCATGTCACTGTGAAAAGTCGTTTCCCGTAAGGATCACCGAAGTTAAGCAACGTCGAGTCTTCTCAGTATATAGGTGGGTGACCGCTTGTGAATACCTGGTGATGTAAGCTTGGATGTGTGGGTGTTTGAATGGGCGTGTGAACATGTCGCATTGAAACATCGGTTCTCGTAAGATGACGGATGTTAAGCAACGTCTAGTCTGGCCATCACCTAAATGGGTGACCGCTTGTAAATGAGGGAAATTAACAAGAGATGACTGATAACTGACATCCATTAAACATGGTACGTGGAACTAGAACAGTCTACCCCAGTCAGCGAAATAAAGGGTTTAGTTCGATATTCCAACCACCTGAAGAAGGCCGGAACCTACAACGGCCGAAACGGTGTAATAAATATGGCGATAAAGATAAAGGCTGTTTTGCAATAATTCAAGCTGTCCCAATTTGACCCGATCTAAAGTTTAGACTCCTTATAAGGACATTTTTCTGAACGCCCATTTACTAAAGAAGACTATTGGTTAATAGATTCGTTTAAAAGGCTGACAGATATGTTTACCAATTCACACTACTTCTGATGAATATTTTTGCTTGTCTAATGGCCGATAATTGAGCGTAGGAAGAAAACTGGTCGCCAATTGGCATCGCTCTAAAACAGAGCTGCTAAAATGGAACCACACAAAGAAGGAGGACCTAAAGTTAGTTATAAGCACCAATAAATAGAGAGAGGGTTTTTATTTTTCTTTAATTATAACTCGATTGAAAGTCGCACTCAGTGTGGACTTTTACGTGCTAATTGGGTCTCCGACCCAAAACTAGAGATCTCTGGTCCAGCTTAGAAAACAGCAATGATAATTCTGAAGAAATCACTTTGAATTCCTCAATTAACTCCATGGAACTTCAAAACCTCACGTTAATTCTGATTCGAGCTATCATCCCAATTCCGGTCAAAATACTGAAGAAGGCCGGAGCGTACAACGGCGGAAACGGTGTGTTAAATATGGCAACAAAGATGAGGACAATAGTCCGAATAATGTAATAGTTTACTTGTATTAGATTGTATATTTACAATATTCATTTATTAGATTGTTTATTAGAATGGTTCACAATACATCCGCTAATTGACAATCGATTCCGGCTTTATAAAATGATAAATACTAAGGATTTCATTACATCTGAAAAAAAAAACTATTTCGCGAATATTCAAATGAGCATATATGATGAAAAAATGCCCAAAACTTAATAAAACCAAAGTTTTATCCAAACCATTATGCTATTATTAAAAAAAACGAAAAAAATTTGATTATTGAATTATTATTATGAATAATCAAGAGTGGTCTCCCCTTGTTTTGTTACTCTCCTCTTTGAGAGAACTATTTTTGTTTACTGGGACTATAAAACGACACTATACACGAACCTTGTATTCTCAGCTGAATAAAGCTTTCTTAAAGCCTACATCTGCATACTTTTTCATTACAATTATTTTATTTTCTTTAATTCTTCGGCATTTTTTGTTAGAAATTTGTTGTCTCTCGGGTTAACGCGTGACAATAAATTAGTCTGGGATATTTTAGCGGCTTGATTTGCAGTGAAGCACATTTTGATTTAAAAATTCTTGTAAAGTTAGATAAGTCCGAACAATGTAAATAGTGTAAATAGTTACAATACCTTATCTGAGAAATAGAGACAGATATTGAAGGTGAATATGGCAATAAAGATGAGGACAACAGTCCAAACAATGTAAATAGTGTAAATAGTTACAATACCTCATCTGAGAAATAGAGGCAGATGTTGAAGGTGAATATGGCAGTAAAGATGAGGACAAAAGTTCGAAAAATGTAAATAGTGTAAATAGTTACAATACTTCATCTGAGAAATAGAGACAGATTTTAATTAAATTCCCATGCCTTATTTCGAAACGAATGAAAAGTTTTGTTTTTTCCGGAAAATCTTGATAAAAATATTCAGAATTTCTGAAAATTTACTGTGAACAGTCGTTAAAATTTCGCAATAAAAGAAAAAAAAAGACACTCTCCAATCTCGACCCTTGACGACTTTTGGTGCTATAAGGCACTATTCTAATTAACTAAATGGTAGATATATCTCGTCGAGCGCATCTGTGAACGTGACCTTTTAATCTTTCCATTTATTCGTCTTCCTCCATCAAGTTAGAAGTCGACTGAAGCGAGTTTTATGGTCAACACTGTCATCTCGTTAAACACGATAAATCACGCCGTTGTCTTTTTTTTTAGGGGTGGGGGGAGGGCAAAACTTAACCCACGTTAACACAAAGTCCTATGTTGTTAGCAATCAGTGAACATCTAATTAGCCATTACCATATCATCTTGTGTATAAGTCGATATTTTTTTTTCGACAAAACTTAACCCAGGTTAACACGAGGTCCTATATTGGTAGCCATCAGTGAACATCTAATTAGCCATTACCGTATCGTCTTGTGTATAAGTCGATTTTTTTTTTTCGGAAAAACTTAACCCAGGTTAACACGAGGTCCTATGTTGGTAGCCATCATTGAGCATCAAATTAGCCATTACCGTATCATCTTGTGCATAAGTCGATATTTTTTTAACCAATGTTAAAGACCAAAAATGCGAGATCGTATTATAAACAACTATAGGTTTTCAGAAAGTTTTATCCAACTTCAAAATCCTTTTATTCTAAACAGCAAGATTGCAAATACCCTCAGCATAATAGATGCTAAAAACGCAAAGTAGACAGGTATTTACAGCAATTGTTTTAAAAAAAAGCTATTTGCTACGTCGGCAATAAATTTTTCTCTCTTCTTCCTTAATAAAAAAAGAAAACATCTTTTTTTTCATAGTTTATTAATATATATAAAAAAATAATAAAATCATATCAAACAGAAAAGTATGATAGATTGATTAACACCTTAAAGTATATTATTGCTTTTGTCTACTTAGCACCTTTCCACGAAAATTTGATGATATATTTTGCAATGTAAATTAGAAGGAACACGCAATGGCTAAACATTCGATTCATTTCTATTCTTTAATATCGAGAGAAAAAGAAATATGTTAGTGAAATATATGTACGGCATTGAGATTGTAATAGATAATACGATACAACTTTTTAAAAAAAATACGTAGGGATGGATGTATTACGGGGTCGTATCGTAATAAGGGATTTAATTTATCCCTGTTTATTAACTTCAGAAACACTGAGTGATATTATAGTCAAGTTTTTTTTAAGCGTTTCACCCCAAGCAAGGCGGGAAGCCACTAGGACGCAAGGGGTTACAGAAGATTTGGAGCAAGATCAGATAGGAGTGATAGAAGAAAGGATGAGGGTAGTGGATAGATCAAGGCAACTGGAGATGTCGACTGACATTACATTTGAATAGCTGGAGATTATAGCTCTCAGGGAAACGGGAATAGGGAAAGGAGTTCCACAGGCGAGAGGTGCGAGGTATGAAGCTATTGGAGTAGAAGAGACGGCTATATTTAATACTTTCAACAGTGAAAGTGTGAGAGCGGGATGCCAGCCTCATAGGGGGCTTGAATTCATGAAGTCTGGGAACCAGCGAATGCAGCTCCTCGGAGCAATTGCCATGCAAGTATTTGTAAAACAGACAGAGAGAAGCGGCGGCGCGTCTGTGAGAAAGTGACTGTAGACGAGATGCCAGATCAGGGCCAATATTATTCATAAGAAAATGCGGTTTTCCATGTTGACAATTACATCACGAATACGCACGAAATCAATAAGTTAGTCGAGGAATTAGTTTTTACTTCAAGATATACCAACAAAATAAAACGTTTGTCTCATTGTTATTCTTTGGTTTGTGATCGAAAGTTTCTTTCCATCTTTCGTTCTTTCTGATACACTTTTCCCCCTTTTTTTTTCTTCATTTTTCATTTATTTTCTTTTAAATCATTCATTTATTCATTCTTGCAAATACCTCTTTTATTAAGGGTTAATTAGTAGTAAATATCACTAAACCATTATTGCCTAAATAAGTCTTATAATTTAAAAATATTTTCTGGCTTTAAATAACCTACAAAGAGTTGACAAGCAGTGGAAAACGAATCAATCAGTCTATGAAATACCGATTAGCTACACAGGTATGTCTTTTAGATTTATTTACATTCTCTGGCCTATAAATGTATAGAAACTACATTGGCCACAAAATGAGTGATCGGTTTATATATTATCATAATATAGAATTGGCCCCCCACTTTATATCCACATTATAATTTCTTGTTTGTTGATAAGCTGTGGGAAAGCGAATCAATCAGTCAATGAAATACACATTAGCTACACAGGCATGTCTTTTAGATTTATTTACTTTCTCTGGAATATAAACTACCGTGGCCACAAAATGAGGGATCAGTTTATATATTGATCATAATAGAGATTTGGTCCCCCACTTTATATCCACATTATAATCTCTTGTTTGTTGATAAGCCGTAGTAACCGAATCAATCAACGAAATATTGATTAGCTACACCGGCAGGTCTTTTAGATTTATTTACATTCTCTGGAATATAAATGTATAGAAAACGCTACTGAAAACCTCCCGATCACAGGATTTGCTGCCGGATGTAGTTCATCGTCATAACCAGGACGAATCCAAGTCTGGATGATTTAGGATTGGTTGGTCGAAATATGGTTACAAGGCCTTGCGATTCTGAATATACATCTATTTTTAGAATTTTTTTGTTAACATTTGGTCTCCTTTTTATTATTTGTTTATTTTATATTTATTCATTTTTTCTAACGCTACAATCTCTTAGTATCTCTTCTTTATTCAATGTATTCTTCCTTTTTTTTCATTTAAACTCACTGTATATCTTTTCTTTCTTTTTTTATATGTATCTTCATTTCAACATTTTTTTAAAATTTTCAATTTTCTGTTTATCCATTCTTTTCGTTCTTTCTTTTCACATTTAATTTTTCTTTCTCTCTTTTTTTACTTTTCTTCTCAATTCTCTTTTCTTTCTGTCTATCTTTTTATTTTTTCATTGTGTCTTGTAATACCTTTGTTTCTCATTTCTATATCGATTTCATTAATACCAGTTTTTTTCATCCCTTTATTTTTTTCATCCTTTTTTCATCCTTTTATTTCATCCTTTTTTCATCTTTTTTTTTCATCCATTTATTTCATCCTTTTTTCAACTTTTTTCATCCTTTTATTTCATCCTTTTATTTCATCCATTTTTCATCTTTTTTCATCCTTTTTCATCTTTTTATTTCATCCTTTTTTCATCTTTTTATTTCATCTTTTTTTCATCTTTTTATTTCATCTTTTATCGCACCGTTTTTCATCTTTTTATCATCTTTTTTCATCCTTTTTTCATCTTTTTATTTCATCCTTTTATTTCATCCTTTTTTCATCCCTTTTCTTCCTTTTTCATCTTTTTATTTCATCCTTTTTTTCATCTTTTTATTTCATCCTTTTATTTCATCCTTTTTTCATCTTTTCTTCATCTTTTTATTTCCTCCTTTTATTTCATCATTTTTTCATCTTTTTTTCATCCTTTTATTTCATCCTTTTTTCATCTTTTTCATCCTTTTTCATCTTTTTATTTCATCCTTTTTTTCATCCTTTTATTTCATCTTTTGTCATTTTTTTCATCCCTTTTTCATCCTTTTATTTCATCAATTTTCATCTTTTTTCATCCTTTTTTTTCATCCTTTTATTTCATCCTTTTTTTCATCCTTTTATTTCTTCTGAATATTCGTGTTCATTCCTTTTTGCTTTCTTTACATTCTTGGAAAATTTCAAGTGTTTCTTTTTTTTCTACTCGGCCGTTTTTTCATTCTTTTTTTCGTTTACGTTATCTATTCTTTCTTTCTTTATTTCTTTCTTTCTTTCTTAATTTTTACCTTCTTTTTCTGTTGTATTTTCTTTGTTTCTTTTGCTCTCTTTGTCTCTCTCTCTCTGACTATTTTCCCAATTTTTTTGCCTCCAAATCTATACAAGCCTCTTTTCTTTTAGCTACTCCTTTCTCCTTTTCTTTCTTTTCTTTCCGTTAGAAAAAAGCGTTTCTTTTCTCTGCAACGAGAAAGAAAAAAAAAAAGAAAACAATTTATCATTAAAAGTAGGAATGCATATAGAGTTTCGAAAAAAAACATTAGAATTACAAGAAAGAATGAATAGAACATGTTTAAAAGAAAAAGAAGGAATTTTTTTGCCAAGCAAAAAAAAAAAAAAAAAGATGGGGAAAATAAAAAAAATAAGCTTTCTTTGCTTTTCGGAGGAACGGTGGCATAATGGATAGCGGCTTGGATTGAGAAATCGGAGAGCCGAGATCGAATTTCAGTCGAATCCATTTGCATTCACACACGTGCTAATACCCTTGGGAAACGTATGAATCCTCATCTTCTCCCCCCAGCTTTGGGTAAAATAGCAGAACAGATTGGGTTCTATAGACTTGGATGGCAACTGATCTACTGCAGAAAGAAATGACAACCTATTGCGGGAAAAAAATATGCCTCGTCAGTCATGTACCCAAAGATACAGGATCACCTAAGCGTGTATCACGCATGGCACATAACTGACTGACTTTTTCTCTTCAAATTCCCTCGTCTTTTTCTCTTTATTCTTTCGAAGTTACTCGCATTTTGCTTCCATATAACTCTCATCTCTCTTTTTCTATCTCCCCACACCCTTTGTTTCACTCTTTCTATTGCTCTCTTTCCTACTCAGTGATGACGTCATCCTGTTAACAACCTTTAAAAGGTCAAGGGCCGACAGTGTGATAGCTAAACTTTTTTTTTTTTTTTTTTTTTACATTCTTCCTCTTTAGGGTCGGGATCCCATTTGACCAACTCATTTCCTCTAGCTCCCACATCCTTTCACATCGTCTCCTCTGCTTTCACTGGCCCAGCTTCTTCACAGAAATTAGGGTCACGAGATAACAAGCCTCCATTGCGAATGTTCTCTTTTGCTACCCCCGCCATCTCTGTTTTATTTTCCTTATCTACATTGTGGCAGTGTTTTATTTTTTTTTTCGGGTTTCATTTTCAGTTAATGATCAACAGCTGAAAGAGAAGTAAATCATTACCTTTTTATCTCTAGCACACACACACACACACAAACACACACACACACACACACAGATATCTAACGTAGAAAGCTCAAGTTTTCAATGTGTGTCCGTTCTAAAACTATAATGTTTTATGTGGAACAGTTTCGCAGATGTTGAGGGCACCTGAAAACGGATGAATTAAAAGTTTTATACGCATTTTACATATTCTAAACACGATTTAAAATGCCGTCTCCTGTGGTATATAGTATATTGCTTCTTCTGTATTTTAATAGATTCGTGTATATATTTCTTTCCTTGCAGCGATATGCCGTATTGAGTTAGTCTGTCTATTTCCTGTGCCAGGCTGGTAGTTCACTACTACTACTACTACTACTAATAATAATAATAATAATAATAATATAATAATAATGATAATAATAATAATAATAATAATAATAATAATTACTTCTAACCATTGATAATTTAACGGTTTTTGTCTTTGAGATTTCTGATGAATCTTAATTCAACAGTTAATGATCCAATAAGCTCATGGCAAGTTCTACGACAAAAAAGTAGTAGAAATTCTATTTGCTGTGCCAGTTGTCTTTTAAATAATAATAATAATAATAATAAATAAAAATAAAAAAATAATAAATAAAAATAATAATAATAATAATAAATAAAAATAAAAATAATAATAAATGAAAATAATAATAATAATAAATAAAAATAAAAATAATAATAAATAAAAATAATAATGATAATAATAATAATAAATAAAGATAATAATAATAATGATAATAATAATAAATAAAGATAAGAATAATAATAATAAATAAATAAATAAATAAAAATAATAATAATAATAAATTTTAACCCACGAAAATTTCATGGTTTACGTATTTGAATGTTTTAATGAATCTTAATTCTTAAGTTAATTATCCAATAAGTTCATGGCGACTTTGTACGATAATAAAATATCAGTAGAAATTCTATTTCCTGTTTCATCTTCTGTGCTAACTACTATTACTACTGCTACACAGTTATGTGCCATACCTGATACACGCTTAGGCGATCATGTATCTATGGATACATGACTGACGAGGCAGATTTTTTTCCCGCAGTAGGTTGCCGTTTCTTTCTGCGGTAGATCAGTTGCCATCCAAGGCTATAGAACCCGGGCTGTCCTGTTATTTACCCATTGCTGGGAGCGCGGAGAAGAAGAGGATTCATATGTTTCCCATGGGTATTAGCACGTAAGTGAAGGAATGGATTCGATTGGAATTCGAACTCGCCTCTCCGATTCCTCAATCCGACCCGCTATCCATACTCCACCGTAATCATAAAAAATAGTTTTAACCCTTAAAAATTTCACGGTTTTCGTATTTGAGTTTTCTAATGAATCTTAATTCAAGAGTAAATGATTCAGTAAGCTCATGGTGCCTTCTAAGACAATAAAATATCCGTAGATATTCCCGTATCACATCGTTAAATATTTGAGCTTAACAACATTAATAAAATATTACAATAACAGCCATAGGTATGAATGCTGGTGGTTATTTTAAGAAGTAAGGGGGTACAATTGAAAAGATTTGCAACTAACAACTTATCCCATTTAACTGAAACAGTTGTTAAACACTGTTATCTTCCCTTCTTTCTTTCATTTAGTGACTGAAACCAGGTAGCATCTTTGATGTATTTTGTTTTCTCACACGATCAACACGAAATAGTTCATTGTTTATTATGTATTGGAGGGGCGTAACGGTCGTGTGAACTTACGAAGGGAAGGACTAGCATTATTATTATATTATTTTTACCAAAATCACGTTATCAAGAAAGCTTACTCTACACATGCATGATTCATCCTTCATTGCTCATCACCTACGAAATTATTCCTGTCTGCATTCAAAATTTAGAAGAATATTTGTGAACAATACCGGTATACTTCACCAAGAAAGTGATAAGCAAAAAGTATAAATTTAATTATGAATACAGTACAAATGTTTTGAAATGCTTATAGTTTATGGTTTTATAAAAATATTCATGTTACAAGTAAACAGTTTACAATCAAGCAAATTATAATTTTCTAATAATATTTCAATTATTAACTAAGTTACCTTCCTTACACTATTTTTTTTTTAAATTATGAAATTAATGTTATGTTCAGGAGCATATTCCCAATGGTAATAATTCAGCCAAACAGAATTTCTCATACAACATACAATTTAAAACATCAGCGTTTGTATTTTTGCCCATGATCTGAATTGTTAACGGTCTAAGCACGAAAGAAAAAAAAATTCTTCGGACAAACCCAATTATTTATCTTAGCCATCAAAACCCTGGTGATTATATTGGAAAATATCAAAGTACAGGGGAAAAATAAAAAAATGCATAAATATAACCACAATATCTTTCTTGCTGTCTTTAATCCTAAAACAAGAAAGATGATACGTGATTATGAAAGGATTTTTATTGAAAATAAGTAAAAACAATATGTCTAAATTGTTTAATCAGACATGATTAAATGAAAATATGCTGGCAAAATATACGCAATATATATATATATATATATATATATATATATATATATATATATATATATATATACAACATCATCACTTGATAAGACACCAGAAGTGTTGGAACAAAATGGCTATTTTGTAGTGATTTTATAACATATTTATGTTATAATTTTCGAATAAATAATTATATTTACTCTACTCTGTATTGAGCACTCTTTTAAGAATAGTATTTTTGGTTATTAGAATTTATTCCGTATACACCAATCCTATAGTTGGGTATATATCCGCTGAGGTGAAACCTTGGTAGGTTTGTCTTGCTCTCTAGTTTTTATATATATATATATATATATATATATATATATATATATATATATATATATATATATAGTATATTGAGATAATTTTTGCACACTCAATGTCCAGATATAGGTATATACACAGATCTCTCTCTCACTTTCACTCTCTCACTCGCTCTCTCTCTCTCTATATATATATATATATATATATATATATATATATATATATATATATATATATATATATATATATATATATATATATGTACATATATACATATATATATATATTAAGAAATATTTTTACGGTATGCTATATTTATGGGATGAAGTTCTAAAACATCACAGCTAGAGTGTATATAAATTTAAAATATAAAAGTGGACATTGAAGTCAACATTCACTGTCTCATGGTAAATGTAATCGTCAGTCCACCGACGATATATATACACGCACATACATATATTAGGAAATGGACAAAGTCCGACAATTTATTTATTAAAGACATTTTTATGTTTAACGTTGTTATTTTATAGATACAAGTATTTAAGTAAATGCTCTGTTTATAATAAACAGTATTAAATAACATTTACCGGCCTAAATGTCCGAGAAATTTTCATAGAAAATATTCCTCATTTGACAGGATTCGAACCTGCATCCTATACGGAACCGTCATTTACGCTGACGTGCCTTACCGTCTCGGCCTCAAAGGAGCGTTCGGTAGGCAAGGTCGAATTTACTGCTTATAAACATCAATCTTCTATGAATCTCGTACATTCATAACTGCTCTGGCGTATCAAATGTAAACAAATGACGTCATATATTAAGAAATGGACAAAGTCCGACAATATATTCATTAAAGACATTTTTATGTTTAACGTTCTTTTTTATAGATACATGTATTTAATTTAATGCTCTGTTTATAATAAACAGTATTAAATAACATTTACCGGCCTGAATATGAAAAATTTCTCGGACATTCAGGCCGGTAAATGTTGTTTAATACTGTTTATCATAAACAGAGCATTTACTTAAATACTTGTATCTATAAAAAGAACGTTAAATATATAAATATATATAAATATATATATATATATATATAAATAAAAAAGAAAGAAAAAGATATAAAATCCGGTGTTCTTATAGATATTTTATTTTTACAAAATAGTGCTCAATGTAAATTTACAGAGCATTAATATTATAAATTAATTGATTTAAAATATGGTTATTTTCGCTACACAGTTCCAACCATGTTTCAAAAATAGAAGCTAAAAACCCCTAATTTTATTTTTGCAAATAAATTAAAAGCATTAGTTCTATTTCATCTTCAAGCGAATATATATATATATATATGTGTGTGTGTGTGTGTGTGTGTGTGTGTGTGTAGCGAACTGTGGGTTTACGTGTTGTTAAATTAGGAACACGTGTATTTATTCCTGCTAGAAGAAAGTCCACTACAAGAACATGCCGGACTCAGAGATTGAATCCACCATAAAGAAGTGTAAAGAAAAACAAGACCTATATATTTATAAATATATATCAACAAATATATATATATATATATATATATATATATATATATATATATATTACAATGGACATAGACATTAACATTTGTGTTTGTGTGTGAACATAAAGAGTTTGTATTTTGGTGAATGTTCGTCCGTACGTGTATGTGTGTATCGTGAGCGAAACGCAGTTCTCTGCGAGAGATCACATCTTTCAAACATGTCCGCTCAAATCAAAAGTATAAAGAGAACGAGGCAAAAAAAACGCCCAGTATTTATACTGTAGGGAGAGCGTCCCCTAGTGAACAATTTGGACAATTAAGGGGGAGTTAACTCCGACATATATATGTATGTATATATCTATGAATGTATGATGACTGAAAGAGGAAATGAAAGAACATTAAACAGCGATATAATATTTGACAATTGTTTTTACTCAAATCGCAATAAATAATTCCATGCATACTGTACTAGATTCGCGCCCAGGTCACATTATTTTACAACTGAAATGGCTAGATATAGCCGTAAGTTCTATTCTAGTGGTTTCTTCGCTCGCTCTTCTCGCACGTGTAACTCCCTTTGGGTTTCTTGATTTTTAGTCTAGTTTTTCCTTCCAAAATATAAATGCAATGTCTATCGTTATCTTCTGTCATTTTACTTCCTTTACTTTTCATTTCTGTCTCTTCTTAAGACTGTTTTACATCCTATTCAGATAGACACAATAACCTTCTTGCGAAGTGAGCAGTATGTTTCCGCTAATATTCAACATTCTTTTCAAGACGTATTTCAAAAATTAACCTGGCTATATTTGAAGGACAGGCAAAAATTTGTAGTTTTAAAAGATATCGTAAATTCACATGCATTTCGATAGATAGATAGATAGATAGATAGATAGATAGATAGATAGATAGATAGATGTTAACAGACTGAGATAGATAGATATTAACAGACTGAGATAGATAGATAGATAGATAGATAGATAGATAGATAGATAGATAGATAGATAGATAGATAAAGAGAGAGTGAGAGATGGAGAGAGAGCAAAAGAGAAAGAGAAAGAAAGTGAGACCAATATATTGGGATTAAGCAATAAATTCGAAACAACATCATTTCGGTAACTTCCTATACAAATTTAGCAATAAACGATTTATTCGACACCAGTAGAAATCAGCGCAATGTTCAACATCAATGAAATGTTTAAATAGATGACAGTTGGTTAAATATGCTACGTTTAGATAGATAGATAGATAGATAGATAGATAGATAGATAGATAGATAGATAGATAGATGTACACATGCAGCTATAGATAGAAATATAGATAGATATTACAATATTTAGATAGATAGACAGATGTACAGGGACAACGACAGATAGATAGATAGATAGATAGATAGATAGATAGATAGATAATAACAGACATAGACAGACTGATAGCTGTACAGAGACAGCCATAGCTAGCTAGCTAGCTAGCTAGATAGATAGATAGATAGATGTTAACAGACTGAAATAGTTTGATATTAACAGACTGAAATAGACAGTTATTAACACCTTACCGATAGATAGATAGATAGATAGATAGATAGATAGATAGATAGATAGATAGATAGATAAATGTACACATACAGCGATAGATAGATATAGAGATAGATATTAACAGACTTAGATAGACAGACAGACAGATGTACAGAGACAACGATAGATAGATAGATAGATAGATAGATAGATAGATAGATAGATAGATAGATAGATAGATAGATAGATTCAGAATGCAGGCATTATTCCTGTTAGGTAAAGAAATATGCGTTTATTCTCTCAGCGATGCTATCGTCGTCCGTTTTATCTCGTCTCTCTCATCTTACACATCTTTCACTTACATGACCGCTGAGCTTGGTATAAGCGACAGATTCCCCCTTTAGTACCTGAGGTGGTTCTTACTGGGGAATCCATCAACATCACACGAGAAACAGTCGTGGGTGCTCCTGGAAAACGTGAAATCTGATACGTGACGCTGATTGTAAAGCAAAAACAAAAAGAAAAAGAAAAAAAAGTGATAGAGAAGGGTGTTTGGCAAATGCTTTGGTGCTTACACCCTGAGTCATTTGGGGGGCCAAAGAAAACTACACCGCCATAAATTTGTTCTTCCATGCTATCTTTACTGTTTAGCTAAGGTGAAAAACTGGATTCATCCCATCTAAGGTTACGCCGCTATATTTAGCAGCAAAGAGACCTTGTTCAAAAATCCACTGTTTTTATGAGGTTTGTATTGAGGTTAGAATTTTCATTCCTATTCTCTGCAGCATTCGTTTCTGTGTCCGAGGGGTCTCGCTGTAAGGAATTTGAATGTTTCTGGGAAAGTGTTTCGTGATAAGTTTTAAAGGAATCGAAGAAAAATCAATTTGGGATATTAAGTTAGATCGCAGTATTACATTTAAAAAAGAGAGAACAGTTTTAATTTTCAAGGATAACCATTTATTTTATTTTATTTTATTTTTTTGGTAAAAGATAAAGAAACGCTAAAATGGACATGAAACTGGCATTTCTTATCACTGACGTGATTTCTCTGACAACCAAAATATGTAAGCCAATTTTTTACCTTCCTCGCTTCCACTGCATATTTTGTTAAGATAAGGAAATAGAAAAAAATATAATATATATATATATATATATATATATATATATATATATATATATATATATATAGAGAGAGAGAGAGAGAGAGAGAGAGAGAGGGAAGGGGCTAGGAGTGAGAGAAAAAAAATACAAAAAAGAAGAAAGAGAGAAATGAAAAGGAAAAAATGAATATAGATAGATAGATAGATAGATAGATAGATAGATAGATAGATAGATAATGAACAGATTCGGATAGATAGATAGATAGATAGATAGATAGATAGATAGATAGATAGATAATGAACAGATTCGGATAGATAGATAGATAGATAGATAGATAGATAGATAGATAGATAGATAGATAGATAATGAACAGATTCGGATAGATAGATAGATAGATAGATAGATAGATAGATAGATAGATAATGAATAGATAATGAACAGATTCGGATAGATAGATAGATAGATAGATAGATAGATAGATAGATAGATAGATAGATATAGAGAGAAGGGGCTAGGAGTGAGAGAAAGATATAGACAAGAGAGAAAAGCAAAACAGAAAGAGATGAAAAGGAAAAAAAAGGGGAATATAGATAGATGGATGGATAGATAGATAGATAGATAGATAGATAGATAGATAGATAGAGAGAGAGAGAGAGAGAGAGACAGAGACAGAGACAGAGACAGAGAATGAGAGAAAGAGAATGAGGGTAGCTGGAAATAAGGAAAAGAAAAAGGAAGACCAAAAGAGAAAAAAAATGTCAAAGTGAGAAAGAGAGAAAAGTTGATATAAAAAGAAAAATATATATATATATATATATATATATAGAGAGAGAGAGAGAGAGAGATTAACTGGAAGTAAGGGGGGAAAAAAGGCTAAAGGAGAAAAGAGTGAAAAGTGAAAAAGAGAGAAAAGATGAAATAAAAAGGAAAAAAAGAAATATCGACAGCAATAGAAAAAGAGTAAACGCCCCCCCTCCCAAAAAAAAAACTGGAAGGAAAAGGTGAAAATAAAGGGGGTGAAGAAATGGAAAAAAGAGAAAGAAAGAAAGAAAAAGAGAAAAGAAAGGACAAGGAATTAGAATTGTAAAACAGTAAAAAAGGAAAAAGAAAAAAATCAAGAGAGAGAAAAAAAAAAGTTAGAAAAAGAAAAAAAACTACAAGAAAAAGACAAAAATAAAAGAAAAAAAGAAAGCGAAGAAGGAGAAAGAAAAAAAGAGAGAAGTAAGAAAGAATTTGAAGAGTAAAAAACATTTGCACCAAAATTTACATGCTCATGCTCCAAGTTAGCGGGAAGGCCAAGACTGACTTTGCATTTCCCAACTCCCATCGATAGTGGAAATAATCGATTATTTCATGCTTCTACGGCAGTTTTCATGTAGTTTGCGGCCATTTTCTACTGGCCAGAGTGAGAGCCAATAGCTGGCTGCCACGAATAGGCAGGAAGATTCTATTGGCCAGCGTGAGAGCCAACAGCTGACTGACACGAATATTAATTAGCATGCTAGCATGCAAAAAATCAATAAGGTGCATTCATTACAAGTGGGGAAAAATTTAAATCTGCATGGCACTTTACTCCAATTGGCTCATTAAATTTGCTTAAACTCAACGTTGATTCTGATCCCACAGAACTGGGTTGGGTGTGAAAATTATTTTTGTTAACATTCTTTTTCATTCGGTTTTTCCAGTTATGAGTCCTTTTTTTTAAAGCTGATCGTTTTGTGTTCATTTTGTTTAGTTCTTTTTTCGTAACAGATTTAATGTTTAGTATAGAGCTTAGAAAAATTCGCCGTGTGAGATAGGCAAGAAGTAAGGCATGTAGCCCAAAATACAGATTGCAAATCGGAGATATCAAAATAAAACAAGTACAAACATTTAAATACCTGGAAAGTCTTTCAATAGAGGTCAGGAAGTGCGAAACCGAAATCCGAAAATGCACTGGAATAGTCAAATGTGCCTTCCAAATTCTAAGCAAAGTAATAAGAAAAAAGAAAAAAAAATTGTTAGAAACAAAGAAAAGAGTACTAATCTTTTGCCTGATATCTGTTATCATGCAGTGAGTGCTAGATAATCTGCTCCCAAATGAAGTAGAGACTTGAAGCAGCAGTAATGTGGTTCTACAGAAGGATGCTGAGAATTCTATGGACCGAACATGTGATCTACAGCAAGGTTTTAGAGAGTATCACAACTTATACTAAACATTGGGAAGAGACAGACTCTGCATCACATAATGAGGTAAGAGTACTTGGAATATTTGAAGGCAAGAGGGATAGTGGAAAACAACACAAAATGTACCTATCAAGCTTCAGCAAACGCATGACGGAATAAGATTTAGGAGAGTTAACATGGACACCACATTTATTCAGGGTTAAATAGGACAGGAAATCGTAGACAACCATGACTGACAATGTCTTTTCAGAGACACAGCACTTAAAGAGAAAGAACATCCTGGGTAAGACGTTAAACTACATCCAGCAGCAAGGCCTCTGATCAGGAGGATTCGAGGAGCGTGGAACCACCTCTCAATTGCTGGTGTTCAAAGGTGTCGCCCTGACCTGAGGTGATAGCACCTGTTAGGGTCCCAGCTATGGGCAAATAGTTAACTATTACCAGCAATACAATTTTGAAAGAAAAATATTACCAGAAACAGATTTTTGACAAAACAAAATATTAGCAGCAATAAAAAATATTGTCGGCATTAAATAACCCATTGAGGTTGATATGGTGTAAAACAAAATAAACCAAACCAAACTTAAAGAAAATGAATTTCGTACACTATCCCAGAGATGCCATAGCTGGATAAATCTGTGTAGCAATCACATATGACACACATTGTCAAAAGTTTTTGAGATGTCTAGGGTAATTTATCTGATGTCAAAACTAGCATCATGCCCTTGACTGACTGTGGGTGATGACAGTTGATTCGGCAATGTGGAAACACTATTCATATGCCATCAACTCCTCAATATATACCTCAGAAATTTTAACTGTCTCTTCTTGATGGTAAACGTGGGTGGTCTTTTTTTCCTTTTTTTTTTTTTGGAAAACATTATCACCTACCATCTAAAGTTTATTTTAGTTTAGTTTATTTAATAGCATATCAACTTCTTTTGGGTCACGTAAAAGTTGGATTGCTGAAATTTAATTTTCTTGAGAGCTTTAATATGTTGTTTGTTCTCTTTTACTATTAAAATCTATTGCTGGATGTTTTTTTTCTGTTAAAATCTATGGCTAGAATTTTTTCCATTTAAATTTATCGCTGGATTTTTTTTTTTTACTATTAAAATCAATTGCTGGAATTTTTTTCTATTTAAATCTATTGTTTTTTTTCTATTAAAATTTATTGCTGGAAATTATTTTATATTAAAATCTATTGCTGAAAATCATTTTTTCTATTAAAATCTATTGAAAAAAATGTTGTCGGCATTAAATTACCCATTGAGGTTGATATGCTGTTAAACAAAATAAAGCAAACCAATCTAAACCAAAGAATACATATTCTATTCATACGAATCTATCCTAAAAATGTTGTCAGCATTAAATAACCCATTGAGGTTGATATGTATAAAAAACAAAATAAACCAAACCAATCTAAACCAAAGAAAACATATTCTATTCATACGAATCTATCCTAAAAATGTTGTCGGCATTAAATAACCCATTGAGGTTGATATGCCGTAAAACAAAATAAACCAAACCAATCTAAACCAAAGAATACATACTCTATTCATATGAATCTATTCTAAAAATGTTGTCGGCATTAAATAACCCATTGAGGTTGATATGCCATAAAACAAAATAAACCAAACCAAACTTAAAGAAAATGAATTGCGTACAGTATTCTAGAGATGCCATAGTTGGATAAATCTGTGTAGGGATCGCATATGACACACATTGTCAAAAGTTTTTGAGATGTCTAGGGTAATTTATCTGATGTCAAAACTAGCATCATGGGCTTGACTGACTGTGTGGGTGATGACAGTTGATTCGAGAGTGAAATGTGGAAACACTATTCATATGCCATCAACTCCTCAATATGTGCCTCAGAAATTTTAACTGTTTCTTCTTGATGGTAAATATGGGTGGTCTTTTATTTATTTTTTTTGAAAACATTATACTTACCATTAAAGTTGGGTTTGGTTTAGTTTGTTTAATGGCATATCAATTTCTTTTGGGTCACGTAAAATTTGGGTTACTGAAATTTAATTTTCTTCAGAGGTTTAATATGTTGTTGTTTGAATCTTTTACTACTAAAATCTATTGTTGGATATTTTTCTGTTAAAATCTACTGCTGGACTTTTTTTCCATTAAAATTTATTGCTGGAATTTTTTCTTACACTTAAAATCAATTCCTGGAAATCATTTTTTCTATAAAAACTATTGCTGGAATTTTTTGTCTATTAAAATCTATTGCTCTATTTGTTTCTATTAAAATTTATTGCTGGAAATTATTTTCTATTAAAATCAATTGCTGGAAATCATTTTTTTCTATTAAAATCTATAACTTGATTCCTTTTCTATTGAAATCTATTGTTGGTATTATTTAAATTAAAATTCATTGCTGGAATTTTTTTAATATTAAAATCAATTGCTGAATTTTTTTTTTCTATTAAAATTTATTGCTGAAAATTTTTATATATCAAAATATATTTCTGGAAATCATTTTTTTTTATTAAGATCTATTGCTGGTTTTTTTTCTATTAAAATCTATTGTTAGTACTTTTTCAATTAAAATTTATTGATGGAATTTTTTTTTTACTATTAAAATCAGCGGATACATTTTGTTTTCTATTGGAGTCAATGTCTGGAATTTTTTTCTATTAAAATCTATTGCTGAAATCATTTTTTCTATTAAAATATATTGCTGGAAATCATTTTTTTCTATTAAAATTTATAGCTGGATTTTTTTTTTCTAAAATTTATTGTTGGAATTTTTTTGTATTAAAATTTATTGCTGGAAATTATTTTCTATTAAAATCTATTGCTGGATTTGTGTTCTATTAAATTCATTTGTTGGAATTTTTTCTATTAAAATTTATTGCTGGGAATATTTTTCTAATAACATCTATTGCTGAAAATCTTTTTTTTTTCTATTAAAATCTATTGCTAAAAATTTGTTTTCTATTAAAGTCTATTGCTGAATTTTTTTTTTTTCTGTAAAAGTTTTTTACTGAAATTTTTTTCTATTAAAATCTATTGTTGGAATTTTGTCTATCGAAATCTTTTTTTATCATAAAAATCTATTGTTGGAATATTTTATACTAAAAATAGTTTTTTTACAACTTTATAGTGTTTTACCCCAGTCTGAAGGTTCACTATTTGGCGATAGATGGGAATCTAACAGGCACTACCAACCTGGGTCAGGTATACCTGGAAACAACAGAAATGAAGACATGGTTCCATGCTCCTCAAATCTCTCGTCAGAGCACTTGTTGCAGGATGTAGTTTATCGTCATACCCAGGAAAAAAACATTTAATGAGACAAATGCGAATAATTCTTTTCCATTGCAAAACCAGAACAGTTAGTTCTCTAGTTCTCCTATATGGTAGTGAATAGCAGACAAATTCACAGATGAAAAGGAGACTTCTGGCAACAGAGATGTACTTATGCAGAAGGATATTAAAAATAAAATGGATCGAATATTCGAGTAACGAGGAAGTTATATACAGCATGCAATGAATAAATAAGAGTCTAAATTATGCAAAAATTAAATACTGACATCTCATTTTAACAGATATATTTATTTAAATTACACAAAAATATCTTTAAATACTAAAGAGTAAATTTATTCAATAAAAGTGCCATTACCTTCAAACACGACCTCCAGACGATTTGGGAATCTCCTGCAACTCATCTGGACAGTCTCCTTGTTTAATTTTTTTTTGGGGGGGGGGGCAGGTCTGGGCACATTTCACTATCCCAATTTTCAAAGTTTTTCAAAAAGTTGGCCCATTTCATTCTATTTGGACACAAATGATTGGGAAAAAACACTTCCCCACTTTTTTTTTCTTCTTTTTTTTTTTTGATAAATATAGTCCACCTCGAATTATACGCTATTTTTATGGATACAATTTCGAGGTTTGCTTAATCAGAAGTTCTCCATGGCTGAATAGTCATAGCACACCGGTCACAATGATGGTTTCAGATAGGATACAGGTGCGATAAAACTCAGAAGATGCATATTTTCTACGAAATTTCTCAAAAATTAAATTAAATATAATTAATATTGATTAATTAAAATAAAGAACATTTA